CCTTGTTCTTCAGGCCTTCATTGACACTAGATATTCTTCCTATTTTTAACCAAAATTATAGGTACTTAACCATGAATTTATTTTGTTAGATAAAAGTATTTCCACCTGGTTTATTTTATATGTACCGTATATATTATAAACCTTGCCGATGGTACACATTGTTTTCCCTCTGATTTCTATTGAATCAGTTTCTTATTCCACTGTAAGAACTTTTTATATATTAAAGAAACCAACCTTTTGTTTTGCCATCTATCCTTTGACTTTGTGGATGGCTTTACTTTTTAGCATATGCAAGTTTTGAGTTTTTAGTACTAAAATGTATATAGTCTTCCCCAGTTGTTCGAATTCTATGTTGTGAATTTAAAAGCCTTCTTTGGGTCTTTGGTTATTATTATTTTTTTTTCCTTTTTCATCAAACTAGGGTTGCATAGAATGTGCTTGAAGCAAATTGGTATCTGATCTTTCCTTGTGAATTGGTGCACTCAGTTATCTCAGAAGGGTTCATATAAACTTTCAGTTGGAATCCCTAAGTGTCCCTGAGACTCTCATAATGATGAAAAGAAATTCAAAGCAAGACAGAGTTGTTTGTCAGCCAGTGGATTAGCTGTCTTCTTGCTGAATGGGCAGTCTGCACTATTTTATTTTTTTCTTCTGGAAACAGTGTTTGTTTTTTGCTGCCCTATGCTGACATTAATTACAACAGCTCAGAAACCTGTGTAGCAGGAAAACATGAGCAAGGCACAGGTCTGGAATTAAGAGGGTCCTCCACTGGGACATACCCCATCCCTGAACAACACCTCCAGGAACACTGTGGTATCCTGGTTGACCCAGACATAGTGAACGGAATGCGTGGATGGGAACAGGGTAATCCCGTGCGAATTGCAGAGGAGGGAATTGAGAGGTAGAAAAAAATACTGTTTAATTCAATTTCTCCCTTTGGTGGATCTTGTTCTTTCTCACAGATCAGGCAGTGGCTGCTGCTGTTGTTTCTGCTATCACCTGTGTGACCCCGGGTCCTTGTTTACATTCTATCCACTCCTTCTGAAGTTCGTGAAGAAGCAGTCTTTCCCCAGCAGCATAGCTTGTTTGCTGTTTTGGTTATGTGTGTAGACCTGACTCACAACAGAGCAGCAGGGGGAGTTAGGTTTTCAGTCTCCTTCTTAGCTCTGTATTCTGCTGGATAATAATTGATGTCAGAAGTTTTATCTACCTTTTTTTTTTTAATATCTGAAGTACATCTTCCCATGTCTTCTTTTTCCAAAAGCCACTGTTGACCTATCCAATAATTTAAGGCAATTTCAAGCTGTTAATATCTTTAGAAACTAGTGATTCAGCATGATGGAATAAAAAGACAGCTCTTCCATCCTTCCTGGTGAAGATGACCTTCACTCAATATCTTTGACCTTGTTGTCTGCCTCCTGGACATCTGTCTTAGTCCATTTGTGATACTTAGGACAACATAAATTTATGTCTCGCAATTCCAGAGTCTAAGAAGTCTAAGATCAAAGTGCCTAAAGATTTAGTGTCTGATGAGGGCCACTTCTTGGTTTGTAGATAGCAATCTTGACTGTGTCCTTACATGGCACAGTGAGTGAGGGAGTTCTCAAGGACAGAGGGGGATCATGGGAAGACACAAACATTAGACATTAGCAACATCCAGTCTCTACATCCTGCATCTCTTGTCACTTTATCCTTGTTGAGCGTGGAATTTTTAGAGGCTGGGTCACAGCAGCCCAGCAATCTAGCCAACACCAGAAGGTTTTAGTCTCTTTTCATCAAATGTTATAGAAAGTGTAATAGTTTGAGTCCTACCTCCTTGAATGCAAGGGATACTCTGTATTTGAGCTCTTAACAAGCATTCCACCCAGTGTATGGGTGAAACTTTTGGGATATGAGGAAACCTATCTCAAGAGGGATTACAGTCCGAGGTTGAGAACTCAACATATGTTCCAACTGTTTATTTGTCACCATGACTACATGACAGACCATTCTGGAAAAAACATGACCGAGCTTAGAGGAGGCTGCCGAGAAAGAGTTCTATCCTTTCTTCTATCTCCTAGGAGTCTGTACATGTGACTTCTCCAAAGTCCACTGTGTTGACATATAAAACCAGTAAATATTAGATAAGCTACTTTTCATGTTAAAAAGAATAAAAATAATGGCCAGCAAGTGGCATGGTGGTTCACGTGCTGGACCCCCACTTGGCCAACCATGGTTTGAGCCCTGGATCTGACAGCTTGAAAATCATGCCAGATGCATGTGCATGTATGCCCAAAATCCTGAGGGAAGAATGGAGGAGAAGGAATTGTGGCATAGTCTCCCCCACTCCTGAGGGGGTGATTTCTTACTTTTTCTCTCTGTGTCTCTCGCTGGCATAATAATAATAATAATAATAATAATAATAATAATAATGGTAATAAGAAAAAGAATCATCATAAGAAAGAAAAAGTAGAGCTAGACTTGTCCATATTTCACTGCTTCACTCATACAACCAATATGTATTTAGAATTTATTACATGCCAAACCCTGTGCTAAGTATTGGGACTATAACTGGGAATAAAAATTGTAAACAGCTGCAAGTGTTGAGCTTTTACTACCTATTGGGCACATGCTAAATGCTTTCCATGGATCATTTCATGTAAGTTCCAAATGAATCTTGTACTTCGGTGACTTTATACGAAGATAAGGAAATGAGGCTTCCTGAGGTTGAATGACTTGCCCAAGGGCACTAGGGTTAAAGCAGGAACACAAATGCAGCATGCTTTTCCCTTTTTAATTCTTTACGGTTGTTGCCACATGAGGCAGAAACAAGTCCTGGCCATCATAGAGCTGCTGGTCTGAATTTGGAAACACATTTCTGTAGATAAACTCTTCAATCTCAGGAGAAATGCGAAGTGCCTCGCAGGGGAAACCTCCCACGATTCTGCAAGTCCCTTAGTTGACACAGACTCCTTTATTTTTCTCGAGTCACGTTCATTTTTCCCGTGTCCCCCCAGTTCATCCTCCAAGCGTCTTTCACCTTGTCCCTCTCTCTTCTCCTTCTAAGTGTTCTCCTCTTTGCACCTGTTTAGCTTTTCCTCACACCCATCTAGATAACTGCTGGAGTCCCCAAGTGTCATTCAATAGAGTTTTGAAGGAAAACCAGGAAAAGGAAGGACACTTTCTTTTTTGAGAGAGAGAGGTTTTTGCTATAGGGTAGTGAGCTCGTCAGGGAGACAGAAAGAGACATAGAGGAAGAAAGTGAGAAATCACTTCCACACACACAGCAGAGGTGGTGGCCACGCAGCAATTCCTTCTGCTCCATTCTCCTCTCAGGATCTTGGGCACGCACGCACACGCGCCCGGCGTGAGTTTAAGCCGCCGGATCCAGGAGGGACACTACTGCAAATGAAATGAGCTGTTGATGGATGGCTGAGTGAACCTAGGGGTCCTTCTTTAGCATTCTCTGGCATTTAAGGGACTGAGGATTCCAAAAGCACATTCACTCCATTCTGCGGCTGCTAATCTCATTTTCTCATGATTAACCACCAGGTTCATTATGTTTTCAAGTCACATTAATCTTCTCTTCTGTGAGTTTGGTAACATTTGGAGTCATTTCCCTCTATATTTATCCATATGGGATCTTTAAAAAGATAAGTTTGCAGAAAGTCATTTGTTGCTCATGCACACAGGCCTGCTGTAAGAGGGATGAATGCTCTTCTTGCTCCTGAGATCCTGAGAGAAAATCTGAAGGCAGGCATGGATTTCCTCCACGATGCACAGGGCCTCTCAGCTCCGCTCCCAGGGGTCCTCAACTTGGACCCACAGTAGAAGGGATTGGGCTGCAACGTAATAGCATCAGAAGTCACCAGAAGCAAGGCTGTGGATCCTGACTGTCCTCACAGAGCAGATGGGATTGGAAAAGAACTGTGGGGGTAGAGGAAAGAATTGCAAGATTAATGAGTCAGAACAAAGACTTTGGCTTCAGTTCTGACTCAACTGCTTACGAGCTATTTGACCTTGGGCAAGTCACATCATCTCTGAAATCCTCTCATCATGTCTGTGAACTGGTCCCAAAGATGGGCCTGATTTCTCCATACTGGAGGGTAGTTTTGAAGATTAATTAGTCTTCTTATCTCTGCTCTGCTGTTGAGTGAGCTTCATAATCTGCTCATATCACTTAATTTTGCAATTGCTGTGGCCCTTTCAAACATTAACTCCATGGGCGTGTGCACATGTGTACTGTCAGAGAAGTCTTAGAGGCTAGTGTTAATTTTCTTCTTACATAAAAAAGGCTGATAGGTTTATGTTATATTTGAAAATCTATTGGGGAGGGAAAAGGTTGTTTAGAAAACAGCGAATCCTTTGGAAATTCAGTTATTAGCATCCTCCCAGGTATAACATGTTCTCAGGAGGTCACAAGGGAGGCAGCTCTTCTGGAGGTTCTTGATTGTCAGCCCCCAGCAACAATTTGTTATGAAGGTTGGAATACATGCGTTCAATTCTTAATTTGAATAAGATGTTTCTTAAGAGAAACTCTTCTAAATTGGGCAGTCATTCAAACTCCATGACAGATATTCCTGTCTCTGGTCATTTGCCATGATATATTGCTATTATTTCTCATTGCTGCCTAGTGCAGGGCTAGATTGCATTCATGCATCTGTTATTATAAAAGGGTGAAATACATAATTAAATGTTCTTGCCGTAGAATAGAAGAAGTCTATGATATAGAGAAGAGCAGCAAAAATGAGAGACATTGGGACCATTGGCTTTAATTCTGCACAACTAACAACAAGGCAACAGAATTCGGAAATGTTGTCATGAATTGTCCTTTCCCCCTGCACCTGGGATCTGAACGGGAGACTCCCATTGCGCAGATAACTCCCAGTGGCCTTGATGGAAATTACTTGCATAACTAACCTTCCTGCCCACATAGAATGCCAGATGCCTGAGAGCACTTTTAATTGCAGTGTACCTCCCTTTGCAAAACAGCTAATTGCATCTACTTCCCTTTTCTTTAGGTATCCAAGCAAGAACAAGAATAATGAAGAAACACATGTGTTAATTGCAGCCTTTTGAACTACGCGAGAAGGAAAGCAACAGTGTGGACAAGGCTGGAACCATTGCCACGCTTGTTGGAGTAAATGAGGAATGGGCTTGTGATTATGCTGACATTCCAGCATGAATCTGGTAGACCTGTGGTTAACCCGTTCCCTCTCCATGTGTCTCCTCCTACAAAGTTTTGTTCTTATGATACTGTGCTTTCATTCTGCCAGTATGTGTCCCAAGGGCTGTCTATGTTCTTCCTCTGGGGGTTTAAATGTCACCTGTAGTAATGCAAATCTCAAGGAGATACCCAGAGATCTTCCTCCTGAAACAGTTTTATTGTATCTGGACTCCAATCAGATCACATCTATCCCCAATGAGATTTTTAAGGACCTCCATCAACTGAGAGTTCTCAACCTGTCCAAAAATGGCATTGAGTTTATCGATGAGCATGCCTTCAAAGGAGTAGCTGAAACCTTGCAGACTCTGGACTTGTCCGACAATCGGATTCAAAGCGTGCACAAAAATGCCTTCAATAACTTGAAGGCCAGGGCCAGAATTGCCAATAACCCCTGGCACTGCGACTGTACTCTACAGCAAGTCCTGAGGAGCATGGCGTCCAATCACGAGACAGCCCACAATGTGATCTGTAAGACGTCCGTGTTGGATGAACACGCTGGGAGACCATTCCTCAATGCTGCCAATGATGCAGACCTTTGTAACCTCCCCAAAAAAACTACTGATTATGCCATGCTGGTCACCATGTTTGGCTGGTTCACCATGGTGATCTCGTATGTGGTATATTATGTGAGACAAAATCAGGAAGACGCCCGGAGACACCTTGAATACTTGAAATCCCTGCCAAGCAGGCAAAAGAAAGCGGATGAGCCGGATGACATTAGCACTGTGGTATAGTTTCCAAGCAGACTGGCATGGAGGAAGAAAGTAGTTTGCAACTGCAGTAGAATCCGTGTTTATTTCTCCCATCCATTGTAAACATTTAAGACTTTGTATTTCAGTTTCTTTTCAATGATACCACTGTTGAACTTTTAACGAACACTACGACATAACCAATCATTTTAGTTTAGATGACCCACCCCCTTAAGAGTACCCCTGGTGGTATATTCCTGAGTAAGCTACTGTCTGAACTTTAGTTAGAGTCATCTCACTATTTAATAATGAAATTTATTTTTTTAATTTAAAATCAAATAAAAGCTCCACTTTGAACCATGGAAAACAGAGTGACTTATTGGTCAAGAACACAATATAGTCATTCCACTTTCTTTAAAGAAATACAGACAACTCTCTGAACCTAAAGAACTATTGTAATGAAAGATGTAGCACTAGGCCCCACTGATCACGCAAGAGCAATCACTGAATTATTGACCACGCTGAATTATTGACCAGTATCTGTCAGACTTTAAAATACAGAGCCCTAGCAAAAGCCCAGGTAACACACAAGTGTGTCATCTTTCAGAGGCTTACATTGGCTTGAATAGTGACATATGCTGCCCAAAAGTAGCTATAGTTAGCCATAAAGAATAAATGGTTGTTCTTCTACTTCCTGTTAGACACAATGGAAAACCATAGCTATTGATCTTCTACCTCATGCTAGGTGGACCAGATTCTGTCCTCAAGGCTACCCTTTGGTGGACAGGGGTAGACAATGAATATAGAAACAGCTATGCCAGAAAGAAAGGTCCTAATTTTCATGTATGATCAGCTGTGTGCAAATACTGTGCAGGGCATTTGTATGCTATTATTGTGTCTCTAAGCATGTACTACAGAGGAAAAGGTGGCACAACTGCTCCATTTACATAGGAAGAAATTGCAAGTGAATGACCTTCAATGATTTGCCAAGTAGAAAGTAGGATTTAAATTTATACGTCTTGCTGTCTCCAGAGACAAATCTTCTTGTGTTCCTATTGCCTTGGCTTGGTTTATAAAAGTATATGTTACATGTTTAAAAATGCATCCATGTTGGGACCAGCAGATGGCATAATGATTATGCCACTGAACTCCCATGTAGTCAACCATGGTTCGAGTCCCAGACCCAGCAGCTTAAAACTCATGCCAGGATGTGTATGTGCACGTCCAAAATTCCAAGAGGAAAATGGAAGAGAATGGATTGTGGCATGGCCATCCCCCCTGGGGGGTGATTTCTCATTTTATTTTTCTGCTTTTCTCATGAGACTATAGCAAAAATTCTCTCCTTTAAAAAAAGCATCAGTATTAAGTGTACAGTTAGTTCTATGAGTTTTAAAAAATGCATACAGTGTATCTGCCACAAAATCAAGGTATTGTGACCCTGTCATTGGTCAGAGGTCAAAGAAAGTACATTTAGTTCTAGGAGTAGGGAATTGTGGGGTTCTATTTTGGTTTTAAAGTGTCTTTACAGATAATACTTGAAACTTTGATGAGATCTCACAAGGTGAGGATGTAGGGGAAGACAGAAGTAGAGGGAAAAAAAGGGATAGCAGTATTGGGAGCTATTTGGGAAAAAGAAGTCGACATAGGGAGAAGTGAAAGAAAAGCTGAAACCAGTGTGGTCAGACAAAACCATGCAGTAACCGATAAAATGTATGGAACACTGGCTATGAACCAAGTGCTTTGGATTGTCTTTTTTTTTTTTTTTGGAGAGGTTTTTGCTGTAGGGCACGTGTGCTTGCCAGAAAGACAGACAGAGACAGAGAGACAGGAAGCGAGAAATCACCCCCCAGGGGGGATGGCCACACCGCAATCCCTTCTCCTCCATTCTCCTCTTGGGATCTTGGGCATGCATGCACACGCGCCCGGTGTGAGTTTAAGCCACTGGGTCCAGGACTCGAACCATGGTCGACTACATGGGAGTTCAGCAACATAGCCATTATGCTAACTTCTGGTCCCTGGATTGTCTTAAGTTAACCCTTACAACTACCCTACGGATAGTCCTTTGTGGACGAGAAGCTGGAGACACAGGAGTTAAGTTATTCATTCAGAATCCTTGAGTTTGTAAAATGTACAACAGAGACTGGTCTAATCAGTCGACTCCAGAACCTACTGGCTTCTTGCTCACTGAACTATACTGCCTTCCCATCATAGACTTACTACATAAAGTTGTTGATTATGCAGATTTATAGATTTTCAGCCTCCCGTATGATGATTTCATTAAATAAAAAATAATAATAGCATTAAAAAACAGCAGTGAAAGTAGCCACGTGTGGGACTTAGGAAGGAAAGAGGGGTCTTCTGCCATTTTGAGATACAGCCTTCTCCAACCCATATTAAATTATCATTGGGTTCTCAGGAATCACATTTCTGTCCTTGGAAAACCTTAGAGTTTCTGTCTTTAAAGGATTACTGGAGGGGATGATCAAAGTCAGCCAATCCCAAAACTCTCAGAGCAATGCGGTTAACCTAGTCTCCTGGCACACACCCCGGGGTCATGCCCTGTTCACATCCAGTTTTGCCTAACTAAAAAGTGTAAGGGCTAGTCTAGAAGCCTGAGATAATTACCAGATGTGAAATTCGGGTATGGGCTCTAGAAGGCATGCACAGCAGCAAGAAGGAAGTCAGACTGCTTTTGTTAACTGATCTGAGTGCCTTCAAATGAACTTGTACCTTTACTGAAGATTTAGCGCCCCCTGGAGGACAATGTTATAAAATATTTCTGTAAGTACTATCATAGAAAGATGCTTAACTGAACCAAACACGTGTTTTTTCCTCTAAAGAATGCAAAAATCAAGACTTTTCTAAGACAATCCTTTTAAAATAATTAATTAATTAATTAATTATGCTTGAGTAAACGAGTCACATTTAGTTTAGAAAGCTTTCATTAATCATATACATTCTCAAGTTGCTCCTTTCAAAATAATCACTTCCTTACTTAAGATCTTATTTTCCTGGGACCAGCAGTTAGCGTAATGGCTATTTCACTGAACTCCCATTAGTTGACCGGAGTTCGAGTCCCGGACCCGGTAGTTTAAACTCATGCCGGGTGTGTGTGCCTGCGTGCCCAAGACCCTGAGACTAGTAAAAAAAAAAAAAAAAAAAAAAAAAAAAGAGAAAGTCTTAAAATCGGGTTACCATGAATTGTATATAAAGCCATTAGAGAAAAAAAAAATTATTATTTTAAAAATAAATAGCAGGCCATTGGGCCCACACGTGGCCAGAATTGAAATAAACTGCTGTTCCTGTCAGCTTGTTGGGATGGTCTGCCCCACTAGGATAAAAGCACAGGGTACTAGTGAGTGGAAACAACTCAGACTCACATATGTACAGAAAATGGCTCAGGGGCTGACTCATGGAATGGTGATTAAGACAACTGGATCCCATATGCTAAGTACATGGTTCAAGTTCCCGACCAAGGGGCTTTAAAAAATGGTGGGGAGCAGGGGGCAACAAGTGAAGTAGTCATTAAGGTGCTGGACTCCCATGACTGATCATGGTTCGAGTCCTAGACCCGGTGGCTTGCAAGTCATGCTGGACATGTGTGCATGCCCAAAATCCCAAGAGGAGACTGGAGGAGAAAGGATTGTGGCACAACTGTCCCCCCACAGGGGGACTCCCACATGACCAGCTGCAGTTCTAGTCTAATTTTCCCTCTCTCTACCACTCTCTGTTGCCACACATGCGTTCTATGGCAAAAACCTAAAAAAAACAAATAAAACATGTTTGGCACATGTGTGAGTGGAAGTGGAGAAGAGATTATGGCAATGGCCGTCCCTCATAGGCTGTGCTTTCTCACTTTCTCTCTCTCTCTCTGCCTCTTTCCTGCGAGTACAAATTAAAAAAAGCAAAACAAAACAGCCCAACATGTATCCTTCAGTTTCAGTACTAGTTTCTTCCTTGACTTTCCAAACCCTTGTAGATGTTTATATTCATTGAGAGCTACCTACTTTAGGACCTTAAAGTTTGGGAAATTAACTATCATCTAATTATCTGAGGCACACACCATCTGACCTTCTAAATATTTTTTGAATTTAATTTTCATTTAGTTACAGAATGGGAGATTTAACATCTTGGAACCACAGATGGTATAAAGGTTATGGCACTGGACTACCACATAGTTGACCGCACTTCAAGTCCTGGACCCAGCAACTTAAAACTCAAGTGGGGCATGTGTGTGCGCATGCCCAAGATCCCAAGAGGAGAATGGAGAAGGCATTGTGGTGTGGCCATCCACCTTGGAGGGGAGGAGTGTTACTTCTCATTTTTTGTCTCTCTGTCTCTGTATCTCTGGTGAGCACATGTGCCTTATTGCCAAAATCAATCTTAAAAAAAAAAAAAGATAGAATCTCATCATATCACAATCCTCCTATCTCAGCTTCCTAGCTAGGACTGCAAGCATGCACCATCATGCCCAGGGACCATTTAAATATCATAAATGACAGCTTCTTTACTTGGCCTCCTTTGATATCGCTCTCTTAGCCACTACCTTTTAAATTCAAAATCACCTGGGAATTTTAGATTAATCTTTGACAATGTGCTTATCTCTGAAGCAAGGCAAATCATAAAACATGCCAACTCAACTGGAACATTTTTAACAAAGTGATAAAAAGTTACAAAACGGGAGATTTAACTTTCAAAAAAACTTTAGCAAATTGCGATGAACTGATACACAAATTCTGCTAAGTATGTGTTGTTCGTTATTTATTTATTTATTTAGGAGAAGTTTTTGCTATACGGCGCGTGCGCTCGCCAGACAGACAGAGAGAGACATAGAGACAGAAAGCGAGAAATCAGCCCCCCAGGGGGGGAT